ATGTACTAAAATGTACTAAAATTGTACTAAAATTGTACTAGTACAATGTACTTCTCATTAAATATATAATTGTACTAGTACTGTACTTGTACGAATATTATATTCGTACACTGTACTTTCCCAACCCTGCCTATGGTCTTTGTTTCGAAATGATATCTTAATAATACGTTCTGATTGGTTCGCAGGGTTTTGGTAGCAACTGCGCCTGTGAATGAATCGTATGTGTCAAAGAGCAGGTTAATAACAAAAGATATTTTTTGCTGAGATGACTTTCCAAGAGTGTCGTTTAAAGGAAAAGGCGTGTGGAAAGCAGGCTTAGGTCTGTCGAAAGCTTGTGAAACTTGTAAATGTCATCAAGGAAGTTTTCAGAAAGGTCATATGCTTCGTCAACATTGAGAGGTGTTGGGACAATATCGTCCTCTTTTGGAGTTCTTTCTCTTAGGTGCCATGTTGAAAAGGAGAAAGAGTTTTTTTTTTCCATGGGCGAAGTTTTTTTTTAACATTACACAAGATTTTATCATTAGTAAATTGGTGTAACGTGGATTTGTCCAGTGATTGATAAGCACACACTCACAAAAATCAGATGATACGTTTCGGTAGAAATCAAGAAATCACGATTTGAAATTCGAAAATGATTTATTATTTATATATAAAACTTTTATTAAATATTTTATTTAATTTCAACAAATAAATGTAATGCCTTTTAAATTCTCCAATTTTTCAAACTTATTTATCAAAACACTTTGCAATTTCATACCTACGTACTTGATCTAAATAATGTAATGCCTAGATTAATCGATGAACATTTTTTTAAAGTTATTATTGAACGTTAAACTACTTAATTTCTTTCAATTATCATTACAAAAAAAAAGAAAATAACAGAATGCGAAATAGTTTTAGGAAAAACAATTTTTCATATGATAAAACCCTCTCTCATCAAAGTACCATCTAAAAGTAATACGGTGCAATTTAAAATCGGGCACTGTAGTCAGTACTATGAGGTAATAATTTTGACTTTATTATTCATATAAATAACTATATTTTCTTTATTCCAAATATTCTCACTTAAATTACTAATCATTTCAAAAAAAAAAAAAAAAAAAAAAATGCATGAAATTTTAATTAAAAGCACTTTTGTAACATTCGTTATTCGACCTCACCGGCTTCTGGTTCGGAATCTTCATCACCGGAAACTTCAGCATTCTCTTTTTCTACGCGAGCCATAAGTGCGGCAAGTTCAATATCATCTGTTTCACTTACAGCCCTTGGCTAATTAATAATCGATAATTTATTAATTATTGCCCTTTTGAAGTAAAATCTTGAAATAGTAATAAAAAAAATTTTTTAATGCGAACCTTCATTTTGACCGTTAAAACGCCTCCGGATCTTTCGATATCCTCATGAATAATAGTAATTGCTTTTTCTAATGTCTGAATCCCCAAGTTCTTATCCAACGCGTTGGTAATCATGACATATAATGGAGGTGCTACTAATTTGACCTAATATACGAAATATATGTTGTCAGTTTCATGTAATTAAGTAATTAATAATACTTTTATAAATACCTTAATTTGAATATCATTAGTATCACAAGCTTCACCGGATTTAAGTGCCGACTTTATAGCATCAATACCATCATAACCAAAACATGTAACTTCGATATCTATCATAGTTAAAAAGTCATTGAAATATTGAACAAAGATAAATAAAAAATTATAAAATAAAAAAAAAAGCAAACCAGCTCGGATTTTAATAGGTTGTGGTGTCAACCGTCTTTTTATATTGTTCAACAATTCATCACTAATGTCTTGAGATATCTCGAGACCTTCAAAAACCTTTTCTGGCTCCCTTGAATAAATAAAACAAAATTATTTATTTATTAAATGAAAAGTTAAAATAATTTTTTAACGATGGGAAATAACTTACGTGATTGCCAATTTAAATGCTTCATATGCATGACCATATTTACTGTATAATGGCCAACCAATTTGTTTATACAGATCTTCGAGAACAATATTTAGCTTTTCAGCAACATGTCGCATTATGCTGTGTACCTGTCAAGAATAGCATCTAAAGTTAATTACTTACTTAAATAGCTGAATCGAAACAGAATAATAATAATAATAATAATAATGTTACGAAACTGCTTTGGATTTGTTAAATTTTTCTTCAGCTTTGGCTACATCTTCTGGAGAAACTCGACGTTTGGACAAATCAATATATCCTATGTCATGAATTAAATAAAGGATCCAATTAATAAAAGAAAATAAGATATTATAAATTGAGATAAACTAACCTTTTTCTCTGTCTACTCTTAATACTACTACAACTTCATTCCTGCCAACCCGAATAAGCTTTTGAATACTTCGAATACGTCTTCGAGACAACTCAGATAAAAGGATCATACCCTCAATGTTATCGTATTCCAGCTACATAGCGAAAAAAAAATTTTTTTAATTGACTCAAATATGTAGATCAAAAATTTCTTAAATTATTTAAATAAATGCAATACCAGCTTGACATATGCTCCCATTTCTGCGATCTGCCGAACATTAACCATAACTAGGTCTTCAACTTCAGGATACTTTGCCTCGTACATGCGGCATTGAAATTGTGGATTTGACATTTTGACAGAAAAACCAGTGGATCTAACGTTATGAAAAAAATTTTTTCAGCTCAATATAATTTAGCAAGAAAAAATTGGTTTAAAAAAAAATTTTTTTTGATGACTCATAATGGCTCAAAATCATGTTGCACAGATCTGGTTAATCGAACTCAAATTTTAGAGTTTTTTCCATTTCAGGGAATCTTTAAAATACAGATCTGATAACAATGATGATCACTTGTTTAACATCTTTTGAATATCTTTACGTTATCATATTGGACACAAAATATATATTATATAGAGTAATAAATCAATGCTACAGTATTTCCAATTGGAAAACACAAAGGGGTACTATTCAAGTCGTTTCAAAAGACTTACACCATCTACATCTTTACATCTGTTTAATTATTCAAATCGTTTGACCTTTAAAGTAATAAATGAACAGTCATTTGGAATTAATATCACACAAATTTAGATCAAAGGATTAAATCAATAGGTTTATGCATATATATGCATTATGTCATATATAATTTTCAATGAGTGGTTACAATTTTGGATCTTTTGTGTGATACCATTGTACAACAGTACATGTACCAAAGTATGATGTTAAAATGTTAAATGTTGCCACGTTTTTGTATGTTACACGACATTACGATCGAACAATTTTTTTTGATTCATTTACATTTATTCCTCGTTTGTTATATTCGTCAATCAAAAACTTTAGTTTCTTTTTACATTCGTTTATTTTAAAAAAATTCTCTATTATATAATATCTTCAGTTGAAATATAAACATATAATCGATAAAAATGAGTGAGGAAGAGTTGATTAACTTGGTAGAAATAATGTTAAATGATGATCCGAATACTATTCGATTAGGTAATAAAGGCATAAAAGAATTACCGGTGGAATTCATCAATTCCGTTACATTAGATTATAAAATTGAAAGGTAATGAATAGTTTCGATTAAAACCCAATTGTATATAAATGATTTGTCAACATTGATTTATTTTGTAGACTTGGACTTGAACAAAATCAATTGACTACGCTTCCACAGGAAATTTGTAATTTAGCCCATTTAAGATATTTAAACATCTCTTATAATGCATTCAAGGAATTTCCTGGGGCGGTTGGTGCAAATTATTTATTTAAATTCCTTTTCTTCAAAAAAATTTTCTAATATCTTGTTTTCCTAAAAAAAAAAAAAAAAATTCAGTTGTGTTCGATGAAAAATTTAGAAATTTTGGATTTAAGTAGAAATAAAATTCGTAAGATGCCAGATGACTTTGGTACATTAATGTCATTAAAGGTAGAAAAATCGAAATCAGAAACAAAACATTATTATTATTTATCAATTTTCATTATAAATTCTAACCTTTTCATATTTGAAAAACAGTTGTTAAAAATATCAAAAAATCACATAAGACAATTACCGTTATATATATCAGAAATGAAGGATTTACAGTATTTAAAATTGGATAATAATCCAATCGTATTTCCACCTAAATCTGTTCATACTATGCCAAAAGGCGAAGAAAAAGAAGTCATGTTGCCTTGGTTGGAAAATTTAAAAGAATATTTAAGAAAACATTCAAATAATTATTCTTCAAGTAATTTGTCTATTTTTTTTTTTTTTTTAATTCAAATTTTTTTTTTACTAACAGTTTGATCATCAATAGCTATAAGAGAAGCTGAGGTGGATGAGAGTGATCACTCGAGGTACGTTTGATTTAATATAATTTCATTTTGATAAATCAATGAGTTTAATTAACTTTTTTTTTAAAATTAGCGGAGATGAAGATTTTCATAATAAAGCGTTAAAAAAATCAATATCATCGGATAGTATAAATCATATAATGAATACGAGAACAAATACGGGAGATAATCAAAATTCACATTTAAAAACCATAACAGAAGATGAAAATGCATCATTAGCAAATAAAAGACAACAAATTATAACACCGTTAATACATGAAAGAAAGAAACAAATACCAAAGTTGAGTTTAGATTTACTGAGAAGAGATGAACCATCAATATTATCAAACGGTCAAAAAATTTTAGCAAGACATTCAAAAAGCTATTCATCAGATTCGATAAGTTCGTCAACAACAAATAATAGTAATCATTTATTATATCATGGGGGATATTATAATGATCAATATTATATTATAGAAGAGAGGGAAAGCGATAATTATTTTACGAGATTAAAAAACTTGTTACCTTCCGAACATTTACCAATGAGTGATATATCTTTAAGGGAAGCATCAAGGTGTATCCTTTACGCGTTTTCTCAAATACACAAAGCATTAAGACAATTTGCAAATTTTACGGGAAGTGAAAAATTATTTTATAATGAATTAAATAAGGCATCAAAAACTTTAGGACAATTAAGTAATAATTTAAGTAAATTTGATTGTGTCTCATTACATTCTCCTCCCGAATCTGAGCTATGCGCGAAATTATTAAGTTCATGTCAAGAAAATATACTATGCTATAAACAATTGATTGATATATTAAATAAGAGGTTAAAGGGAATCGTTACTCAATCATCCGATAATATGAGATATAGTAGAACATTATTGTTAATGCTAAATGGAAGCATAGCTGACATTAAATTTGCATGGGAATTTTTATTTCCTTTATTGAATGATTACACTCCTTATACCGGTATGTCAACACCATTTCGTAGTAGGTCAATGTCAAGATCAAATAGCAATAATAATAATACAAATGCTCATAGTAATAATGGTGGAATTACAATACCAACTCCACTTTATTCGGCTGGTATAAATTCAAATGGTTCAATATCTCCTTATAATTTAAATACACCAAGCACGACCGGTCTACCTTCGCCCTATCTTTCAAATGAAAATGGTGGTGGAGGGATCAATTCGAATGGTGTAAACGCATCATCATCAATTGGTGGGGGTGGAATTGAAAGGGCTATGAGCAGTAGTCCTTTGCCCGATATAACGTTTCCTGTAAATATATTTGAGCAATTATTATCTAAAGTTGATGTTTCTATTAAGAACGTCGAATACGTTGTAAAATATTTATCGGAAAATTTAGATCAATTTTTAACCGCTTCAACAAACTCGGATCCTTCGGGGGAGGAGGGAGGAGAAGGAGGGGAAGAACATTCTTTAAATAAAATTAAAGAATTAAGGAATTTAGTAAAAAATACTACCGATGTTACTAAAAGGTTAAAGAAAAGTTTATTGATTGCTAGATTATCTTCAAGTCAAAAAGAAGAATTAAGTGTGCAATTGAAAGTACATGGCGATTCAATAGTTTTCTTACAGGTAACCTAACCGTTGAGATTTTGTTTTGACCATTCATTCTTTTTATTAACATTTTCCCTCTCCTCCATTAAATTGCAGACAACTGTAAAAATGTCAAGTTTAGCTAAAGAAGTCTCATTAGAATTTCCTTTACCAAATAAAGTCATGTCTGGTTTAGGTCATGTAACAAAAACAAATATAGATTTAACTAATTTTCTTAGAGCAATAGAAAATAACCCTACAAGCTTGTCATCAACACATTATCCTTCCACATTATCTGTACAAGACAATTCCTCTGGTACATTTATACCTAATGTTCCTTTATCCGGTTCGCCTATTCCAACTCCAAATCAATCCCCTCCTCACAGTAAAAGTAATAGTATTAGTGAAATGGATGAGGATATTAAACCTTGTATGATTGTAACAGTTGATAATGGTGATAATGGTGATAAAGAAATTGAAATTACTGAAGACGAAAACAAGGAATCGTAATGATTTATGATTTGTTGCGATTTATGTTCATTATAATTCTTGTTTCTCCGCTATTTTTTTTTTACCCTTTTTTTAAAAAAAATAAAAATCAAAATAAAATAATGTAAATCATTAATCTTAGAAATGTTTTATATAGAACAAAAAGTTTTTGATTTTTAATAAAAATTGTGGGAAAAAATGTCATTATGACTATCATTTTATGAACTTTATAATTTTCATAAAAAAAATCTTTTGATCATTAGTCTTTAATGAGGAAGTACCCATTTTTTAAAAATTTGAGTTTGTAAATGTTCAAGCGAAAATTATTATTTGTTGATTACAAACTTGGTATGAAGCCCACCAGAGACGTACTCCATTAACTAACCCGAGGCGTACTCAGATCTCTTTGGTGGTTGCATCGACGCGTAATCCGACTTCTTTATCTTTCTCTTCTAATGTATTTTTGACCGCAACAACCCATCGCTGGTCAGTACCAGATTTAATAAATTTTTTCGGAAATTTTAATTTCTTCAACAATTGTAGGTAAAGATATCCTTCGTTCGACGAAACTTAAAGAGTGTAAGTGTTTCTGGACGCAAAATCGTTTGAATGATAGTTTTCTGAATATGACATCGAATTTATATCAAATGATGATCACAACTCGATATGGAAGGCGTAATCGAATCGAAATAACACAATCACGCCTCTTCTTCTATACTTTTATATGGGAACTTAAGAGCGAAACTCAAAAGAATAGGCTGATTTAGAACTGATTCTCAGAATACGCTTTTTCAAGTGGAATTCCCAGCTCAAATAATGTTTTTTTTATTTTCTCGACTATTATAAAGGACATATTCGTAAATGCTCAAAGTTCCTTAAACCAATTTAAAACCAATTAATACTTTTCACGATTGTTCCTTCCCTTTAGATAGCTTCTTTAGAGAGGAAAGAGCTTAGAGTTGGAATTTCTTGTCAGAAATATGACCAGGTGTCTGAGGATTTAGAAACATGAGTTAACAGAATAGCATAAATCAGAAGATTCAGTCATAGTATCATTATTTATATTTTGATATAGTAATTATAATCAAATGATTAAGATATAATTAGATTTATAAAATTATCATGAAGTCTTAATAACAAGTCTTTCTTCTACAAAGCTCTTATATAGGTTATGAAAGTATAATGTAATTTATTAGATTATTATCTAATTATATTAAATTATTATTAAATTATACCTATACCTATTCATATTAAATTAGTACTAAAAATTATTCTTTTATTTTATCACTTTATATTATTTAATTATAAATATCTTACAGAATTAATTTTATAAGAAAAACATTATTATTAAAAAAACATTTTAATTTAATAAGTAAAATAAAAAAATTTACTTTAAATTTTAAAAAAATAATATTATTATAAACTTTTGTATTATTAAGAAAATTAGTAATTTAAAACTTTTGATTCCAATTTTAAATATGAGATTAATTATCAATACTAGGTTTTTTATTGCAAATCAATGATTTTTTTTTATTATTACAAATAATTAAATTACTATTATTATGAAATTTATCATATAAACACCAATTATTTCATTTACAAAGTATGAATATTATTAAAATATATTTTTTAATAAGAAATTTAAAAATATGCGTTATAAAAATTACTATTTAATAGAGAAAACCTTGTTCAATGAAAAAAATATATATCTTCAAAATTTTCCTTTCTTAACTAATAGTTGTTACCTTTGATGAAGTTAAGTTTAAGGCTGCTGCATCATCCAAGAACCAATACAATTTTCCAGTAGTTGGTTGAACCAAAGCAGCAGGCAATCGACACTCGGGATTTTCAATTATCTCTTTCAACACATCTTGTTTCCCTTCACCAGTAGCCACGAAAGTTATATTATGAGCATGATTAATCACCGGTAAAGTAAAGGTAACCCTTCTGGGTGGTGGTTTAGGGGAATCTCCAATATAAGCAACCCATCCAATGGTTAAATCTAACAAAGGGTGATCTGGAAAAAGAGAACAAGTATGTCCATCAGGTCCAACTCCCAATAAAAGTAAATCGAATACAGGAAACTTAACAGCATTCACAGTTGCAAATACAGAAATTAATTTTTGTTCATAATCTTCTACTATTTCTAATGATGCCTCTTCGGTTGCTTCCGCCCCTTTTTTGACAGCTTGTTCAAGTTGGGGAAGTAATGAAGAATCTATGGTATAAATTTGATCTTCAGGGATCGGAACATGATCAAAGAATTCTTTTTTACACAATAAATAATTAGAATCCTCATGATCCAATGGAACGAGTCTAAATTTTAAAAAGAAAAAATTTAATTGTCGAGAAACTTAATTTGAGTGAACGAATTGAAAACAATTAAATTTACCTTTCATCGCAGAAAAACACATGCCATTTATCCCATTCAATGTCTTCACGGTTCTTTAAATCAGCAGCTAAAAGTTTAGGTAGAGAACCACCTGAAATTCCTATAGTAAACCTATCTCGAATTTCAATTGATTCTTCACATAATTTTACCGTTAGATCAGCAAGAGATACTGAAAGTTCTCGTGTGTTTGAAAATGTACGAACGTTTGGAGCATTCATTGTTAATTGGCTTTAACTAATTAATAATTATTGAAATATGAATTAAAAATGAGAGTTGTTATATTTGATCGGCATAATCTTAGCCGCTGATCTGCAATTGAATTTTTCCAATCAACTATGGACAACTCATCTATGTTATACAAACGTTTCAATGTAAAAATCATAATTCATGCAAGAAAATTGGATTGATGCAAATTTTGGACATGAATTGCTTAAGTTATCAGAAACTTTGGGTTCTCTTTTCTGTTACATTATTTTCATTGATTATTTTCGGAATCGAAGCTAATTTACAAGTTCAAGAGAATCAAACAATTAATTTATATGAAGTAAAAGTAACTCATTTACAATGTCCTTACGTACGAGCACTTTCAGAACAAAAAAAAAGGAAATTAGAAAATGAAAGTAGTAATATAACAAAAACAATTTTTTCGTATCTTTTCCCCGGAAGTCCACGTGTAAATTCCCTTCTTGGGACATTTTACATTTCTTCAATACCTAATTTCATATTGTATTTCGTACCACCTGATATTCAACCTTCATCATTAAATTCATTGGTTAGTTTTGCAGTAGGAGGATTATTAGGGGACGTATTTTTACATTTATTACCTCATTCATTCTTAGGAGAGAATAACGATGAAGAAGTCCACTTTGTACAGGTAGAAGAACAAAAGAATGTTGTAATTGGGTTGGCAATTTTTGTGGGATTGACCACATTTTTTGTGATTGATAAATTAATGAGGGTTGCGAATGGAGAGGGAGGTCATTCGCACGCGCATTTTGAGAATGAGCATGAACATGATGAACGTCAACGCGATAGTACAGGTAAAACAACAGCCACAGAAGATAATTCATCATCGCTTAAAAAGCGATCATCCAATAACGAAACTACGTTTCGTGAAGAAAAGATACCTTCAAATCAACCATCAAACAGTATAAAATTATCGGCATATCTTAATCTCATAGCAGATTTCACACATAATTTTACTGATGGATTAGCGATGGCCGCATCATTTTACACATCACCAAGCATCGGAGCAACTACAACTGTCGCTGTTTTTTTTCATGAAATACCTCATGAGATAGGTGATTACGCGATATTGATTCAAAGTGGGTTCACTAAAAGACGTGCTATGCTTTCTCAATTCGTTACAGCCATTGGAGCTTTTCTTGGAACTTTAGCTGGCATTGCTATTGAAGAATATAGCAGAGGTGATCATCATATTAATAGTAACGTTACTGTTAATAAATATGATGGAATTTTAGGTACAGGTGTTGTACTTAGTGATTTAGTCATACCGTTTACTGCTGGTGGATTTTTATATATCGCAACTGTTGGTGTTATTCCTGAATTGTTAGAAGTTACTGGAAAATTATCTAAGGATATAAAACAAGCGGCAACTGAATTCTTTACTATGTTCATTGGTGTTACTATGATGGCAATAATTGCTTGGAATGAAGGTGCATAAAATAAATTTCACTATTATAACCTTTATCTAATTAACTTAATTTGAGAAGTTGCATTATATTTTGAAATGCATTCATATTGTAACTTGTTTTCTTGAATCAAAATGCTTATAAAAATAAATTTAGAAATAAGGAAATAATTTATAGATAGTTAAATTTTTATAATTTTATTACTTTGTAATTTTATTATATGAAAAATAATGCCTTAATAAGTGAATAAATTTATAAAACTAAAATTTTTTATTTTGATAATCTAATTTAATAAAAGAATATTAATTGTAACTTAAGACGGAAATCTGCTTAAAAATATAAGAAATTATCCCTTCAATGGTTTTCCTTCCAAATTTAAAAGGAATTTTACTTACACTTTAAAGTTAATTTTAAATATATTAAAAATTA